AGACAGGGTCTCACTGTATAATGAGTCCAACTAACTTGGACTCACAGCAATCCTCCTGCCACAGTGTCCCAAGGGCTAGGATTATAGGTGTGGGCCACCATGCCTGGCTAAAAAAATTATATTAGTGAGGATGAATCACAGTATAAAATTAATATGGGATTATAGTACATGAAATAAGAATGCTTGAATATTAATTTTTGAGGGGAACCAAATTTTTATAGTTTTGGTCTACTCAGGTTTTTTACTTTTTATGCCTATTTATTTATTTATTTTAATTTATTTGGTACAGGGTCTTGCTACACAGCTCAGACTCATAGTGATCCTCCTGTCTCAGCCTCCCCAGCACTGGGATTACAGGTGTGCACCACCACACCTGGTTTCAGTGACTGGCTTGATGTGGAATTGGCATGGCATGAGGTATTGGGGATCAAATCTGGGTCCAGGCAGGTGCTTAGGCCACCAAGCTGTGTCCCCAGCCACTTACTTATCTTTTTTGAGGCAAGGTTTCACTGTGCAATTCAGGTTGGCCTTGAGCTCACTTTATTGCTGAGGCTGGCCTTGAACTCACAGCCATCCTTCTGTCTCAGCCTCCTGAGTGCTGGGATTATAGGCATGCACCACTGTGCCTGGCAAGGTAATTTATATTTATCTCTAAAACTGTCTCCTTCATATAAGTTTTAGTTGTATGAATTTTATACCACATCCCTTTTTCCCTATTCTTTTTCAATTTTTAACATCTCTTACTCATAATGCATATTCTGTACATTTGTTCATTCTATAGTTATAGTCCCTATTTCAATTCTGATTTTATTTGAGCTCTCTACTTTATTTTGCTCATACTTCCTGAAGGTCTGTTTATTTAGAGACCAGGCTTATGATTACCCACATTGTTCTTGTCTTCGGGAAATTAATGTCTACTCTGTCTCCATTCTGTCTGCTTTCTCCCTGTTGGTGTGCCTGTTAGTCTTGTGTACAGAAGGTCATAGCTGACCCACAGCAGGCACAGACAAGAAGATGACAATCATAAGAAAAATAGGGACAACAGTGGATTCTACTGTCAGTTTTTCTTGAAATGGAAGCTTGTTTTCCCTTCTTTGCCCATTTTCTCACAAGTTATGAACACGATACATTTTTTTTCTGAGCGTTGCTTACCCGAGTTCATATTTATGTATTCAAGGGGCACTTTTGAGACTCTACTAGTGATGCACTGTTCCGTGCTTTTAGGACACAGAAATAAAAACAGGTAAAAATCTTCACCCCTCAGAGTCTGGATCCTAATGTGTAGTATAGATACATAGTTCTGCCATTATTATTTGGCCCTGAATCATTGTTAATTTTCATTACTAGCTTCTCTCAATCTAGTAGTTACATAACAGTGTAGTAAATGAAGCTAGGTGTGGTAGTGCATGCTTATAATCCCAGCACTTAGGAGGCTGAGGCAGGAGGATTGCTGTGAGTTTGAGCTGTGTCCAGCCTGGACTATAAAAGTGAGTTCAAAGCCAGCATGAACCTCATACCAAGATTCTGTCTAAAAAACAAAATCAAACAAAAAAGAGTGTGGTAAACGTATAAGTTCTGGCAGTTATTTTATAGAGTTTTCTAATATATTTTATGCTGAAAATGAATAAAGACAGTTTTTATTCTTCACTTTAAATCATTTGGCCTTTATATTTTTTTATTCACAAAAACCTACAGAAATATTCATAATAGTACTATTTACCATAGCTAAAGGGCAGAAATAATCCAAATATCAATGGATGAACAAGGGAACAAAATGTGGCATACCCATTTAGTACATGATCTTTCAGGCAGCAAAAGAGAACAGAACGGGCACTGGTTTTGCAGCATGGATGACCTCTGAAACGTTGTGCTAGGTGACAGGGACCAGGCACAGTGTTCACACACTAATGCTTCCATTTATGGGAAATACCTAAGGCAGGTAAATTCATAGGCTCAAGAAATCGATTTCTGACAAGGGAGAAACGGGGTACAATTGTTTTGGGGTGGTGAATGTTTTAGAAATAGAAGAGATGTCTGAAGAATATCATGAATGTCCTACATGCTGCTGAATTGTACATATTTAATTCTGTTATGTGACACTCACTTTAACAGAACTGGAAGATGAAGGTGTCAGGAGCTCGGTCTCCCTGAACAGCATGTGCTGAGGAGCGCAAGCTTGGGTGTCTTCTTGGGCAGGGCTGGTTCCTACGTGGCTGCTGCCCTCCCACCTGTTGTGACCCCCCCCCCCAACATCTGTGCCTCCTCAAGGTTGCCCGGAGGGTCTGGTGCAGTTCACCCACAAACCTCTTCTTGCTTCTGAGACATCTACACTTGAGGAAAGGCGCCAGCAGCACAGACTAGCTCCATGTCTAGTCTAAAATTGGACACTTGTCTTATTTTTTCCATTTTCAAGTTAATCACATAATTGAAAAATCCTAGTTTCTTTAAAATGAAATGAAAAGTTCATCTGGAGAAAGCAGAGCAGTTCATCAAGATCGACGAGTGCTCACGATGCATGAGCTTCTCACTAGGCAGAACTGCCCGAGATGATAATGGTTTGGATTGTTTGGAATTTTAATTTGTTTGTTTCTATTCATACATTGTTTAACTTGTACACTTCATTGACTGCTGGTCGAGTACAGAAACCACGGGAGAAATTGATGTTGAAATACATGTTAATAAGGAGACTGATAATGACAGTACTTTCGCAAATTCATTTTGAGATCATTTAACTAGATCTTCACTGAAATTGTCTGAAATAAACCTCACATAGCACATATGCAGATGTCTCAAGCAACTGGAAAACCAATGCTGAGAGAAAAACAAATTGAAATGATTACATCTAATTTGCCTTTTCATTGGTTGAGAATTAATTCTATCCACACCTGCAATAGAGGGAAAACACTATTAGAGAGGAAAACAACATTTTGAAACATTCCTTACTTGCATGCTTTAAAGACAAAACACTTAAAATGCTAATATTAGTCTAGTGATTTTAATAGTGTTATAATTTCACTGAAATTATTCACATGTAAGCTTTGGGAATATCTTATGTTAACCAACAGATTATCTCAGTCCAATGGAGAGCAGGTGCAGCTGAATCTAGCTCATTCTGGAAAGGGCAGGGAGCAGGAGGAGGTGAAAGTGAGTGTTTACTTCATAGAGGTAGAAAAAGAGGACTTCTTTGCAGGAAAGACAATTCCCTCTAATATATTGTAATTTTTTGTAAACGCAAACAAAAATGGAACCCTTTTGTTATAATTGCATTCATTTCATTGACTAGTTATAAACTAAGCGTCTGCTTATGTTCACTGCATTTGCATTTTGTTTTTCTACTAGATGAATCTTTATATCCATCTTCATTTAAAAAATGAATTATCCTGTCTCAGTCCCTTTCTTCTTTGCTGAGATGATACTCACAATTTAAGGAGGAGAGTTTTAATCTGACCCAGAGTTGCAGCAGCCCAGTGCGCGGCTGGCTGCTCCGGAGTGGAAACTGCTCCTGCTTGCGCGCAGGTGGAAAGCCGCAGAGGAGGCAGCCAGGGGTGGGGGGTGAGGGGCGTGGGGGGTGCACCCTCCAGGCCACACCCCCTCTGCCCTCAGGCCCCATCCCCAACAGCACACTCAGCTGCTGGGAGGACCCTGCTTCTGAGTACACATCAGGCAGGTGACCTCCCAGATCCAAACGCAAAGAGCTGTATTTTCTCGATTTATAGGCAACTTTGATGTTGTGTATTAACTTTTGTAACTGTTTTGCATTTCTCTCATTTGGGCTTTAAATTTGAATACTATTCATATAAGTGTAATTTGCTACACATATGTAAATCATACTTTTATTTGTAGAAGGAATAACAAAAGGGTTTATTCCTAGGGAAAAGCAGCAGTTGGCAGAGTACAGAGAGGCTTTCAGTTTTCACTTTGTATCTTTAAGACTGGTTTCTAAAAATAGTATGCTTTTTTTTTTTTTAATGGATTTTAGTACAGGGTCTCACTACATAGATTGGACTCATAGTTCTCCTCCTGTTTACAGCCTTCCAAGCACTGAGATGCCCAGTCTCAGTCACAGTCTCAGTGTGTCCTGGGGGTGGGGCTGGCACAGCACGCAGGGGATCAGTATATTGTATTTTTATACTTTTTTTTTAAAGGAATGCACATTCACCAGTGATGAGTATGTTGGATTGTTTTTCTTTTAAATATCTCTGTACTTTAAAAAAAAAAAAGCCTAGACCTGGCATGGTGGCACATGCCTGTAATCCCAGCACTTGGGACGCTGAGGCAAGAGGATTGTCTTGAGTTCCAGGCCAGTTTAGGCTACGCAGTGAGTTCAAGACCAGCCTGGGCTACAGAGCATGACCCTATCTCACAAACAAACAAATAAACAGGACAACAAAAAACTTTAAATCAGTGGAACAGATCAATGCTTATGTAGTATATGAAGTGAAGAAAATAATCTAGGATTAAGCCTGAGGTTTTGCTGTGGTTTCTGAAAAATTGTTGCTAAATCCAGTATCAAGACTTTTCTCCTTATGTTTTCTTCCAGGAGCTTGTCTTGGTTACTTTTCTTTCATTTCTGGGACACATATGTGACATCAGAAATGAAGGAAGGAAAGGTTTATTTAGCTCACAGTCACTGGAGGTTTCAGTCTGTACTCAGCTGGCTCCAAGGCAGAGTGGCACACGGCAGAGAGCAGCTTTCCATGGTGGCAGCAAAGAGCAGAGAGTAAAGGGAGCGGCAGCAGCCCAGGCAGCCAGCCAGCCTCTCTCCCCCTTTACCAGGGCATGTGCAGTGTCCATACCCACAATAACCATGCCGCCCATGACTGCATGAGGCTTTGGGGGACAGCTAGACAAAAAACATAACAGAGCTTTACAGTTTCAAGGCTCACCTTTAGGCTTTTAACTTACTTCAAACTGATTTTTGTGCATGGCATATAAGGGCTCACTTGAATTCCTTTGCAGCGGGTGACGCCCATGATTGGTGCATTATCTCTTTTCCACTGTGTCTTCTAGTGCTCGTTGGAAAGCCCTTTGCCACATACGCTTGGAGTCAGCAACGTGAAGGTCCACTTTCTTGCCTCTCAACATGCCAAGAAGATTTTGGCTCTTTGAGAGGTGCTTCGTACTTTGCACAAGTTTTAGATTTTTTTTCCTCCTGTTTTAGAGAAGAATGCTGCTAGGATTTTGACAGACATTGCATTTAACTTATGTGTTGCTTTGGCTAGAGTGGGAATTTTTTTTAGAGTGGGGGTTTTAGCAATATTTTTCTAATCTGTGAATATGAAATATCTAGTTCTTTGTGTCTTTTAAAATTTATTTCACTGTTTTATAGTTTTCATTGTACTGATTTTTTTTCCTTTCTGTATTTTAGGGAAGGGTCTACAGGGTGTTCAAGGTCAGACTCATAGTGATCTTCCTGTTTATAGCCTCTCAAGAACTGGGATTACAGGCATGTGCCAGCAAGCCTGGTCTCAATCACTGTCTCAGCGTGCCCTGGGAGAGGGGAGCCGCAGGGCAGGCTGGGGATCAAACCCTGGCCCCTGTGCCTGCTTGCAGGTGCTTTAATCTGCTGAGCTATTTGGCCAGCCTTCATTATACTGATCTTCAATTTCTTGGTTGAATTTATTCCTAAGTATTTTATTTTTAATGCTATCATTTTTTAGTGCTATCATTAACAGGGTCATTTTCTTGATTTTTTAAGATAAAGTTATTTTGATTTTGAATATTGATTTTGTAGTGTACTATTTTACTACATTCATGCATTAGTTCTATCAACTTTTTTTAATTAAAAATTTTTTTTTAAAAATTTACTTATATGTCTGTGTGTGTGTGGCCAGCTCAGCCCACCAGGGGGCGGGGCTGGCTGGCATGTGGTGCTGGGGGATTGAACTGCGGTCCCTGTGCTCTGCTAAGCTTGTTCAAAGTAGGTGCTTTAGACCACTGAGCCATCTCACCAGCCCTTATCTGCTTTTATTTACTAGTGCTTTTTTTTCTGTGTGACTCATTTAGGGTTATTTTTTTTTTACATACAAGATCTTGTGGTCTGCAAGTAGGTAGTTTCAGTTTTCCCCTTTTTACTTTGGATGCTTTTTTCTTACCCGACTGCTCTGGCTATAACATCCAGTGTGATGTTGACTAAAACTGGAAACTGAAAGTGTGACATAGCTACATGCCATATGCAAGAAAGTGAATTCAAGCTGACAGGTTAAATGTGTAGGAAGTCTCCAACTTACGGACATTTGCATTGCAAACTTGCACAGATATGAACAGATCTTGCGTCATGAACATTTGCAGATGTGAACAACTTGTGAAAGTAGCTCCCACTTCTGCTTGAAGTTGTCAGCTGTGCTGTGCGTGCCGTGTGGGAAGCAGGGCTGTCCACTGTCTCCAGCCTACCTTCCCTCCTCCATGGAGAGAAACCCCTATAAGCCAGTCATGCCGTACTGTACCACAATTTTAAAGTACTGTAAATGTAAAGTTTATTTATGGTATTTTGGTATATATATATATATATATATATATATATATATTTTTTTTTTTTTCACTTTAGGTCATTTGTGTCGAAGGTAAGTAGACTCACTTTGTCAGGTTTACAAACAGAGCTGAGTTATGAACCTTCTCCTGGAATGGAACTCATTTATAAGTTGGGGGCCCATGCAAAAGGTTAAAAGGCACACACAGGTTAAGAGTATAGTGTAGAGAGATTAAAGGTAGGAGGGTAGAACAAGATGCATGTAGATGCAGAGTCAGCAAACGCTCTGTAGCTCCATTAACGTCAGAGTAAAAGGATAATGGACTTTGTCTAATGTCAAGAGTCCATCTGCCAAGAAGACACGTTTGGAGAGGGCCTGAGACCAGTTGCAGATCAGCAATAGACTCACAGCTAAGATTTATTAGGGCAAAGGATGCAAAGCAAAATAAGCAAAGGGAAAGGTCCAAAGGGCAGCATCTAGAGGACTCCAGGGGCAGGCCTCTGAGAGTCCTCCCCAGGGCCACACGTAAGACCTGCCAATTCCTCCCTTGGGAGTCCTAACAATGCGTGAGTTCTGCCATCAGAGGTGTCTCCTGAGTCCAGGAGTCTGGAAATTTTGTGGAAGGTAAGTGGTATGGGCGCTCTCTGCCTAGCATTTACAGAGGTGCTGGACTCCCGGAAGGAAGGCAGGTGCTCAGCATGGGCCACTCTCTCACCCTGGTCTGGGCACAATGAGCCGCTCTATCCTTTAGGGCAAATTCTGAGTCAGTGTGGAAACTGCCTTAGTCATGTTCCAGGAGACCAGAGCCAGCCTTCTAAGCAGGCATTTCTAAGAGCAGGTGCCTAATGTCTGGTCTGTGAAATTTTGTACAGCACACCAGCCCTAAGTGTGACACATGTGGCAGCAGCAGCCGCAGCCGCAGCCCAGACTTTGCTCCCAGCTCAGCAACGGCGCCAGGGCGGGGCTGTTTCTAGCTTTGCCCTTGCTCTGAACTTGGGTCTGCAGTCCCGGACGCATCCGGCTCATGCCTGCTCCTCCTTCTCTTAGGGCCTGTCAGGAACCCAGTGCCTTGGCTTCCAGGTAGTCACTCCCCAGGTACTTCTGTCACTGATGTCCAGGTTCCCTGGGCTATGCTGAGGGCTTGCTATGAAATCTCTATTCTAGGGAATTTACTAAGATGTGATAGATCAATTTTGGCAAATAGATGAGTGAAAGCTATTGTTCTCTGTTTGTAGGGTACAAAGTTAGAAAAATACTCATTTCAGCCATTCCATCATATAGCTTCAGTTTCTCTATGTGCTTTCTTTACATGCCACTCAATGATGGGTAAATTCTAGAAATGCATTGTCTGGAAATTGTCATGTGGATGTCACAGAGTGGACCCACTTGAACCGAGGCCACATGGAACCTAGGGGCCCCTGTGATGCCTGAGCTACTGTCCCACAGGCAAGGGCAGGCGTCCTCCCTCTCCCTCTGTCGCCTGCTGTTACTGCGTGACCACAGGCTCTGTCTGGCCCTGGGGAAACCCCACACTCAGCTTTGCCCTGTGTCATGGGTAGAAGCTGGCTGATGGAATGAGTGTGAGTAGCACACGTCGGGCCCAGCCTGGGACTCGAGACTCCAGCCCCACTGCTGATGCTGGCGCCTGGGAGGGGCAGTTTCCAAGAGAGTCTGAGTGTCCTGCGGGCCTGGGCCAGCTTCTCCTGAGCTTCTGGGTAGGAATGGAGTAAATGTCCAAGTTCATAAGGCCCCTGTACTTCTGAGAATCTTTGTTAGCCTTTTATAGCTCACCCCATGGGCATAGCGTAGTCTGGGAAGAAGTCAGAGAAAAGCGCAGCTCTGGGTGGGGGAGCTGCGGAGCTGAAGCCATCTCAGGCAGGTGCAGACCCATGGTGCAGCCACACGGGTGAACAGGCCTACATGGCCGTGGCAAGGAGGTGCCACACTGTGAGGCCCTGGTGCAGGCTGGCTTCTTTTTCTGGCTGGGCCACTCAGCAGTGGACACAGTATAGCTGGATGCTTCCTCTGACCTGGACCTCCCGCAGTCTCTCCAGCATCTGCTGGCCTAGGCTTATGGCCCCCAGGCCCTGCCCGTTGAGCGCCAGCTTCAGCCCCCCTTCCTGGCATAGGAGCAGCACCTAGAAAGGAGCCATGTGGGTGAGTGGCGTCCATACCACTCTGCCCCGAAGACACTTGAAGATGACCTGGAGGCCCAGTGTGTCACAGCCCACTGTGGCTGTGACCAGGATCTTCCTGACCTTCGCATTTTATCAATTGCACAAGGGTTCTTGCTGTTAGCAAAAGTTTTCCACCCCCTCTGCACACTGGAATCATCTGGGGTACTTTCACCACAGCAATGCTTGGGTCCCCACTTGCACTCCTTGTGCCTGGTCTTGGGCTTGGGGTCCCTGGCACTGGCACAGAGGGCTGTATGCCAGAGACTAGAACATTCTTTGGGTTGGCTTCCATCTGGGCACCTACCCTGTGCACCAGATCATTATGGGGTAACCAGGTCATTATGGGGTTTGGCTCTGGGATCCTTCCCAAAGGATGTGATCTCATAGCTCTGACCCACCTCAAAGAATCGCTGGGGGTGGAAGAGGAAGGGCGATGAGATCAGTGTCTTGCGGCCCCAGGGAGAGACCCAGACCAGCGTTCGGTCTGTGAAGGAGGCCCTGAGCATCACAGGTGTGTGGGCAGCCTTGTCCCTCAGGCTCAGTGTGAAACTGTAGGAAGTGGCAGAACAGGGAGTTGGCCTGCTATATCCTGAGGATACCGGGTACCTGGGCAAGGATGGGCAGTGGTCCCAGGGCTAAGTGCTGTGACTGCTCATGGCTGAATGCTCACGGGTGTGTGTGTGTGTGTGTGTGTGTGTGTGTGTAGAGGGGAGCAGAAAGAACAGCTCTGAGCTGAGACTGAGTGCTGGAGTTGTCCTCTGCTGACTGAGGGGTCACAGGGGCTGGGCATCTTCCAGCTGGAGCCTTAGTTTCTCCTCATGAGAATGAGGATAACTGTAGTGATAAAAGTAGCTCTTAATATGTTGAGTGTAACTCAGCACCACGCATTGCCTTAATTTGCAGAAAGCTCAATGGTTAGAGATGGCTTAGCTACTTTCTGAGACCTCAGGCAATTCATGCAATCCATTTCCTCATCTACAATTTTGGAATAATAACAGACCTTCACCAGAAAGGAATCAGAGTCCTACACTTGCTCCCTCTGCCCAACTTGAGTCCTCAACTGTTTCAGAAACAGCAGCAGCCTAGCATTCATGGTAGGCCTGCTGGTGCCACGTGTGGGCTAAGTCTAAAGGATGTTTGTGAGCCACAGCTGAGCAGGCCTTTGCGCATGTTCCACCTGGTCTAGCACACACTTCTATTCTAAATGAATGCCCACATTCAAAGGCTGAATTTATACTAAAGATGACTCTCGATTTTTCTTTACAGATAACTATAAGACCCAGCATGACAGCTCCCTGGGACAGGGTATCGTATGCATTCACGCTGCTGTCTCTAACAAGCGCCAAGTGACCTTGAACCGAGATGAGGACCTGGTATCGGGCTGCCCAGCTTTGGAGCGGGATGTGTGTCTGCTCATTTTCCCACCAGTGTGGGTTCATCTTCTTCCTCCCAGGCACATATAGTGCCTTGCCTGATCACACAGAGTGCAAGAGGAAAAAACAGGGGAAGACCTGGCTGTGGCCTTCGTTCCAGCCTGGTTGCTCAGAGCTCATTCGCGCTTGAAGCTGAGGGGAAGAGGTCTGGTGAGGTCGGCAACTTAGAACAAGACAGTGGCAAAGCAGGGATAGCACAGGTGTGGCCCTCTCTGTTATTACCACCTCTGTAGCCAATTATTATGAGCACCACCCAAGGCTGGCATGGCTGATAACCCATGACTGATGAGTTTGGGGCATAGAGAGGATACATCATTTCCTGGGGTTACACAGGTATCGGGTGACGGGAGCAAATGGCAACACAGCAATCTGGCTTGGAAAAGGCCCTTCCTCCAGGCAGGTGGCTGGGCTGGCTCTTCCTCCCTGGGGTACTCAGATCCAGGTCTTGATGGAGCTAGATTTGTGCCACTCACCTGGGTCTGAGCGCCCTCTGGAGGAAGAGCCAGGCAGCACCACTTAACAATAGTGTCCTGGAACCCTGGCTCCGCTGAGTGCCAGCTGTCCTTGCTGAGTCACCTAAATCAAGTCTCTTGTTCCCGAGAGAGGCCATGTGCTCTCCCTGGGTCTGTGAGGTCTTTTCCTTTCCTCAGTGGCCCGGCAGAGGCACCGCTACCGGAGATGCTGCTGCAGGACGGCCACTGGCCTCCATTCCAACCTGACTTAAGGGGCTCCACAGCCTCGGGCAACTTACTGATCTCTGCACCGCTTCTCCCAGGGGAAAGGGGCTGTATGGCGGTGCTGGGAAACTAAAAGGAGTGGCACTTGGCAGGACACTTACTATTTTGGTTCTTGCAAGACCAGTCCCCGAACTATGATGACCTGTCCGGGCCAGAGTCCCTGAGGAAGGGTGTGTGAACAGGGAAGCTCCTGAAGGACAGGGAGAGATGGGGCGGTGGTCCTGGAGCCTCAGGAAGCCCTCCACTGCGAGGAGCCACTTCTGAGCTCCTCTGTTGGTGGGGAGCACTGGAGTGGCAGGTTCTGTCCACTGGAGGCAGCACCACACCTCCCGTGGCTCCTGCTACAGGCCTGTGGGATGAACTTGTACCAGGGGCCTGAGCACCCTGGACTGTCACATACATGTGGTGGCTTGTTCCGCCATAGCTGGTGAACCACTGGCTAGGGCTGAGGCCAGCCTGACTTCCCATCCTACAGCCTGACCTGGGAAGCATCTAGTATTGCAGCAGCGATGGAGCTAAGGGAAAATGAAGCTGAAACTTTTGCCTGGAGTGGCTCAGATTGCCCACAAGAAGGGAAACTGAGGCTGCAGGTGCTCATCACCACAGGACACCAACATCCTGGCTGGTCCCCCTTCTCTGAGGGACCCGAGATGGACTGCACTTCTAGGGGACTTGTGGGGCCACTCACCAGCTCAGGACTCTGAAGCAGGAAGGGCTGTAGAGGAGAGAGGCACAGGGACTATTAGTGTTTGGCCCAGGGAGGGCGCCCTGGTTGTTACCCTACTCACTGGGAACCCTGGGGCTTCTGTCTCTGATGGCAGCATATGCTCCCAGCTTTGCTCCCAGCTTTGGGGTGATGGGGAAGCCCTACACTGTGAGCATGCTCAGAGGCCACATCAGCTGCTGTCCTGTGAGGTCCACCCTAGCCCCTTGTGTGGTGGCTTGGCAGAATGAGGACTGCCACCAAAAGGCATCTCCTGCTGGGAACCAGCAGCCCCTACCAGGTCCTTCCAGCCCCTACCCCCGTCACCTTCCTGGGTGGCTCTGCAGAGAGGCCAGGCTAGGCCTTGCCCGAAGCTGCAACCATGGAGAGAGAAAGGCCAAGGGGCCTGTGCAGTGTGGCCAGCAGTCGACTTGAGCATCTGCAGGCCCAGCCACACCCCAGACTTACGTGTCCAGTGGGATACTCTCTGCTGCCTTCTGCAAATGGCTGTTCAGAAAGAGAAGGGCACATCGAGCACTGTGCAGTCCCCAGGCCCCCCACCCGTTCATGCCTGCTTCTTGTAGCTGGGTGGTGGCTCCTAAACCTGCCTTCTGAAGTCCAGTTCTCAGCTCCACTTTGGGCTTGTTGAGTCAGAGTTGCTGGTGGCAGATGCCCAGGTCTGTGTTTTGAGTACGCTCATCAGCAGAATGAGGCACCAGCCCGCAGCAGCCTGTTCAGACCACTGTGCTGAACCCTTAGCTTCCCCACCAACTGCCAGCACAGATCCTGCTTGTGGCTCCACACCTGTCCACTGGCAACCTCTCTCCCCTCATCCCATGCAGACCTGACACTGCAGGTTCCCTGGCCTTTTCTGCCTCTTGGTCTAAGAGGGGGAGTGTGTCCCACACTGGTCTGGGTGTCAGGAAGTCAGAGGCCTGTATGGCCCAGGCCTCAGCCCCAAGGGAACTTACGCTAATATTCAGGAATCCAACGGCCTGCACAGAGATATCCCCAAATATGCCCAGGGTGTCCACCCGAGACAATGGGAGCCGGTATCGGTAGTGGAGGAAGTGCTGTCCATTCACACTCACCTGCAGGGCAGCGACAGGATTTTATGCCACCTCTGCAAGGCAGAACCTGCTTCCCTCTCCGCACTGGAGTACAGTCTTCTCAGTGCTCTGACTCAACAAGCATGACAGGACATGAAAGTGCTGTCTGCTGGAGAGCCTGGGCGGTGACTCCACACTCAGTCCTTCCCTGTCCAGTGCTTGGCCTGGAGATCCTGCCACCTGGCAGGAGTTCTTGAGCACCGTGTCACCTGTGCTCTGCTGCTACCAATGTCAGACAGTTGTCACAAAGGCATCCACCCTGAGGGTGCAGGCCAGTGGCTCACAGGGCCAAATGTAGGTTAGCGACAACACTTACCGAACAGGTGCACACTGGGCTCTGGGTCCAACTCCAACTCCCCAACCCCCAAGGTAAGAGTGTAGAGGTGCCTGGTTTCCAGCAAGTGCTCTTTAAGTGCATTCTGCAGCATGGCAGTGGCTCAAGGTGGCCTGGACAGTGTGGTGGCTCCTCAGCCCTCTCCCCACAATGCCACTGCACATGGTACAGGGCAATGGCCAGGTGAAGGAGGGAGAGGTATGTAGCTCTTGGGCCCCTCCTCTTGCTCACCTTCACCTCCTCATTCCCAAAGAGGAAGAGGATGAGGAAGCTGGCCCCTCTCTGGAGGGCCAGGCCAGGCCAGCGGGCCTCCACCTGCCAGTGTCCTCCATGTAGAGTATTGCAGATGACATGGGGTCTGGTGGTGTGGAAGCGAGGGTTGAAGTGGATGGCGATGTCTGGCCGTGGATCCAGGCTGCAGCCACACTGGAAGTCCACCTGAAACCTGCACTGTCCCAGTCAGAGCCCAGAGAGGCTGCTGAGGTGGGGGAGTCCCAGGTCCATCCCAAGCTCTGCCGGTACCTGTGTGCATCTCTGGGGACTGCTCCCTGAAGCATGACCATCTTGCCTGTGTGCAGGCCACCAAAAATGGTTGTGATATAAGGAACCACCTGAGCAAGGGGAGGCAGCCACACGTGTGGTTGGAGGAAAGGCCAGGGCCCAGAGCCTGGGCAGTGGGGAGGGGAGAGGGCATCAGCTCTTCCACTTTGAAGAGGGAATGTCCTTGCTGGGAAGAGCCATCTTTCTGATGTTCTCTCCTACTTCCTCCCTTCTCTTGGACACAGACACATCAAAGGTACCTTGTAGCCATCAGAGCGCTGCCCACTGCCTCTTCCAGCCCAGGATGCCATGCTGCTGTGTCCCCAGGGAGGCCATCCTGGTCCCCAGAAGCCTGGCTCTGAGAATCCCTGAAGACTATTTGTCTTTTTGAGACGGGGTCTCACTGCAGTTCAGGCTGACCTTGAGCTCACTTTGTAGCCCAGGCTGGTCTAAAACTCACAATGATTCTCCTGCCTCAGCCTCCCAGGTGCTGGGAGGACAGGCATGTGCTGCCATGCCCAGCTCCTTGGAGACCACTTAATAGCTAGGGTTGGGACTGGGAGCCAACAAGAATGACAGGATGGGACAGGTTCCAGCAGGGACCCTAAAAATGGCCCAGCTGCCTTCTCTGTCTATCTTTCCCATGGGAAGCTGCTAATCCTAACCCCCAACCCTTCCTAAAATATATGCACACATTCCAATCCCTTACCCCTAGCTCTAATCCCTGATGGCTCTGGGCTGCCCTCTTCCCATCCCCATATCTTCTCTGAGCACTGTCTACTCAGTGCCTGTGTTGCTCTTGGCACTCTAAGCAGCCTGAGCACACACTTGTGGCTGGCCTGATCCAGGTCCCAGGTTACAGGGTGACCTGGCTGTCTCCCTGTGAGGCCCCTCAAAGCTAAGACTTGGCAGAGCACTCTGGAGGCACCCTAAGATCAGGCTGCAGTGTTGCTTTCCAAAGCCCTTCAGCCCTTTCACAACCTTCAGATGGGAAAGCCACCTAGAAAGAACCCCCCTCATGTCCGCCTCTAGGCTGCAGCTTGCAGCTGGTGCAGTGAGAAGCTGGGACCTGCTGGTCCCTTGGGCACCTGAGTAGGACAGGAGGCCAGGGACTTCCCCTGTCACAGCATTGCTGCTTAGCTGGCTCAGCAGCTCATGGTCCTGCTTCCTACCCTCCTGACAAAAAGCTCTGGGAAGAGGCTGCTAAGCGAGGAAGGTGACTAGAGAATGCCTTGGTGGGGCGCCTGTTGGGGGTCTCCTGGACATGGAGAAAGGAGAGGAGCAGCAGGTAGGGGGTAGCCTCTTCCCCAGGCCTGAAACTGAGCTCCCACCACCCCTAGAAACCCGAATGCCAGGAGCCCAGGGTCCTGGGAGGTTCCAGATGGGGTAGCTACTCACTGGGTGGAAGGCAGGTGGCTGCAGGATAAAGCTGTCAGGGATTGGGTCCAGCTTCTCCTCAGGGGCCATGGCTGCCTGTGCCTGTGGGGCTTCGGTGCTCTGGAGCTGACTAGAGTGGTTGGGGCCTGGACTTGTTCCCGCAGCTCCCCAGCCAGAAAGAAGGGGTGGGTATGTGTTCTGTCTGGGCAGAGCCTCCTCTTCTCCCCCTGCCCCTTGCCTCACTCCCCTGTTTCCGAGTTTCACAGTGCCCCATGGGCCCATTTCAGCATTAGCCAGGAGCAGCTGGGGTCACATGAGAGCAGAGTAAAAACAGGGAAGGGAGAGGACCCCTACCTCAGACTGAGAAGAGATGTGGGGTGCTGGGGCACAGAGGTCTGGACTCCTGCTCAGCCTCTGTTCCAGCTGCTGCGTCCCCAGAAAAGCTGCTGCCCTTCTCTGCTCCTCTGTGGGCTGATAGGACACAGCAGCTTCTCACTACAGGTCTGTGTCATCATGGGCCTGAAAGACTTTCCGATGCGGGTTTGGATTTCAGAAAGCCTTTCCTTTAGGAGTGCACAGCTTGTCAACTTTAGCCTGATTTGGCAGCAGAGTACCACAGCTGGAGGTCCTGGCAAGGTGGGGAAAACGCAGCCAAGTGTACACGCAGCATGTAGGGAAGAGGGAAGAGGCGAGGACTGAGTAAGGGGCTAGAGCCAGGACTGCTTGGCCATGGCACCCTGGACCTGGGTGCCAGATCTTGTTGGGTGGGTGGAGTGGGGAACAGATGCTCATGTGGCAAACTTGGTTAGGGGCATCCAGGAAAGGCGTGCCAGGGGGAGCCCGTGGAGCCACCCTAGGATCAGACCACGGGTGGCCTGAGGCCAGGGCCCCCACCCCTCTGCTCCAGGAGCTACTTGCTTATTGCACCAGGGAGTCTGTTCTCTCACTGCTTCAGCGCAGGAGGCCAAGGGCAGGCTCGGCTTTTCCGACTTTGTCCCCTGGCGAGTTTGCACCCAAATCCCCAGGAATCAAACTCTGGACCTTGCGTTTGCCAGCCAAGTGCTTATGTGGCTGAGCATATCTGGAAAGTACAGCCAATTTTGAGGTCCCTCTTTGGGGTTACCCCTCAGCGCCTGTGGAGCGGTGGCTCTTCCGTGATGTTTGGGGGCACCACGTCGGTTAGGGGTGCGGATGGTAGGACTGGGTCGCAGAAGGGAGGATGGTGCACTGTTTCTCCAGGCGACCCTGGCTTGGGACACCTGGAAAGGGCCCAAGGGTCTCTGGGTCTGCCTGAGGCCAGAATGCAGCAGATCGCTCTTCCCCACGCGTGCCCGGTCCCCCTACCGCGCACCCACCACTGCGAGCCCAGGGTCCGCCCCGCCCCTGTCCCCCTCGCCCCCCCCCCGCCCGGTCCCGCGTTCTGCCGCCGTTTGCCCCGCCCTTCCCGGTCCAAGTTCCGGGCGCCACAAACGTACGCTCGGCGGACAGCAGCGTCAACGGAACCTGGAGGTCGCGGGCGACAGCGGCATGGGTCTGAGTCCCGCTGCCCGGCGGGAGGCCGTGGTCGTCCTGCCCAGGACCTCGCGTCCCCATCGCCCATCGGGGGAGCCCGGCGCCTATCCTCCGCTCGGCTCGGGGAGCCCTGGCTCAGGTCTGCCCGCGCCCTCCCATGCCGTCGTCCTCGTCTGTCCCTGCAGCTCCGAGGCGGCTCCAGGGGCTCCGCTCCCTTTTCCCCCGGGTCCCCCCTCAACCCCGCAGCTGGGGTTCAACGCGTTTTCTCCTGCCAGGAGGACCAGCGCGGAAGCCGAAGAGGCCTGGCACCAGGGAGCTGGGCGGAAGAGGCGCTCAGGGGTGAGGCTGGGGCGGGGCCTCCTCCGAGGCCCGGGCTCTGGGGGCGGGGCTTTCGGGCAGGGCTGGGGTGCAGCAGGGTAGGGTAAGGGGGCGGGGCGGGGCGGGGTCTGTTTCGGCTGGGGCTTCCGGTACACGTGGCTCGGGCTTGTGCTGCTGTACTGAAAATACACTACCTTTGGAGATAAGTTGAAGAGCGGGGAGGGTAAAAAACATAGTCCTTTTTGACGTGCATTGTAGCAGGTGTGTGCTTGTGCTTTTTCATTTGTCCTCTTCGCAACGCTGTGAGACACAGGTTCTCTTTACTAACCGAAACGACACTCTTTTGTTGATGATGTCATTGCAAGCTTGCTTAGAGAGAAGCCCGCACATCAGTTGGACAGCATACCGAACCAGCAATTGGATTTAGCACCCCAGCCTGGGAAGGAGGGCAAGTTAGTACAGCCAGCAGCTGAGGTAGGTGCCCCAAAAATTCTTAGAGTGATTAAGTTCCCACCGACTTCTCTACATACTATATTGTATTCTGTTTAGTTCGTATTTAGTATATGTCCACACTGATTAGGGATGTTAGTCATGCTTTTTAAGAAAGGTTATTGAGAGATAACACATATTTAAATTAGACATTTAAAGTGTGCAATTTGATGAGTTTGGAGTTATGCACACAACTGTGCAACCATCGCCACAATCGAGATAATGAACAGCAGAATCCTTATGCCTCTTTGTAATCTCCCCCTCTTCCCCACGATCTCCAGTGGCAGTCTACTTCCTTTACCGTAGATTAGTTTGCGTTTTTCAGACATCTACCAAGCGAAGTCAGGCTGTATTTTTCTGTCATATAACATCATGGTTGTTTCGAAGTGCACACCCACTGTTGCTTTTGTCATTAGCCCATTCCTTGTCTTCACTGAGCAGTTTTGCATCATGTGGATGTATTGCTGTTGGTCTATCTTTTAGCAGTCTGTGGGCATTGGGATCATCTCTAGGAACTGGCAATTACAAATAAAAGCTTCTGTGAACATCTGAGCTCGAGGCTTTGTACAGATGTGCTTTCTTTGGAGTGAATCCCAGGAAAGAAATGCTGGACATTGGCAGATGAAGGTTTAACTTGCTGTTTCTCAAAGCATCAAGTCATTTTGGGTCTTCCCCAGCCACACACAAGGGTTCCAGCTCTCACACGTCCTCATCCACATTTGGCATATTTGCTGTTGTGATGTTAGGTGTGTCACTGTGGTTTTTCTTATCCTTTTCCCTAATGATTATTGATGTCGAACATCTTTTCACATATTTATTTGCCATCCATGCATGCATTCATTGTTGTCATGTTCAAATCCTTTGCTCATTTTTTTTCTATGAGTTTGTGCGTTTTGGGATATTTTTCAGAAAATCTGTATTCAAGTGACTTGTTGAATTATGCTTTGTAATATTTTCTCCCAGTCTGTGGCTTATCTTTTTAGAATAAGTTTTCAAAATTTTGGGAGATCCAATTACCTTTTCTTTTTCTTTTTTAAAAATTTTATTTATGTGTGTGTGTGTGTGTGTGTGTGTGTGTGTGTGTCCAGCTCAGCCCACCAGGGGGCGGGGCTGGCTGGCATGTGGTGCTGGGGCATTGAACCGCGGTCCCTGTGCTTTGCTAAGCTTGTTCTAAGTAGGTGCTTTAGACCACTGAGTCATCTCACCAGCCCAAACAGTATTTTTTTTTTTTTTTTTTTTGCGGAACCGGGCACTGAACTCAGCCCCTTGCGCTTGCCAGGGAAGTGTTTATTCTACTGAGCCATCTCCCCGCCCCCCTTTTTCTTTTTTAACATTTAAAATTTTTTTTTTAAAATGTGTTTAGTACAGACGCTACAGGGTCTCACTACACAGATCAGACTCATAGTGATTCTCCTGTTTTCAGCCTCCCAAGTGCTGGGATTACAGGTGCATGCCACCACGTCCAGACTCAGTACCATCTCAGTACGCTGTAGGGGCGGAGCCAACAAGGCACCCTGGGGATTGAACTTCCAGCTCCTGCGTCTGCCTAAGCAGGTGCTTTAATCTGCTGAGCTACCTGGCCAGCCACCTTTTTCTTTTATGCATTGTGATAAGAAATCTTAACCCAATCCAAAGTTACAAAGATTTTCTATTTTCTTCTAGATATGTTAATAGTTTCATATTTTATCCTTATGTATGTGATTCAATTTGGTTTAGTTTTTGTGTGTGTTGTAAGATACAAATCAAAATCTTTTTCTTTAAGCTTATACAGTTTTTCTAGCATCATCTTTTGGAATGTCTGTCCTTTCTCCACTGTTGCATCTTTGTTATATATGTGTGGGTCTCTTTTTAGACTCTGTTTTGTTCTGTTGATTCTGTTTGTTTATTATGAGGCTTGTATCACACCACATTGATTACTCTAGCTTTATGACAACTTTTAAAAATTAGTCAATATTAGTAAATGTGTTCAATAAATTTGATAATTAATGTATAAATGTCAATGATATTTCTATAAGCTATACATCATCTGAATTTTTTTTTCATGATATAATAACATAAGGAATAAATTTAATACAAAAAGCAAGACTACAAAGTATTGGTAAGGAAGATTAAAAAAGACTTACATGGGAGTCCATGTTTCAACTTCTGGGAAGATGGTGGAGCAGTAAACAGATGCAAATCAGCCTCTCCAAGATTTGGAGTCCAGATACTGGAATATAACAACTTGGGGCGGAAACTCTCTCACACACTCACCACGCCTGGGCTAGCACTAGGTCTGGAGGTTCACGGAATGCGGCAGAAATTCCTACTCATTGGGCGTGGTAGGGGAGGTGCTGCGGAGTGGTGGGGGGCATCCCAAGGGGGTGGAAGAGCATCTCACCCATGCTGTGCCTGGGCTGGAACCGTGTTTGGATTCCAAGGCTTGGAGAGACTGAATTGCTGCTGCTCACAGCTCAAAAACTTCCAAGAAGTCTGAAATCCTCTCCACAAACTGTCATCATTTCTATCTTTTCTAGCCTGTGAGTGAAGCCCTCCAGGAAGCTGCAAATGGCAATGCGTCCTACGGAATCAATCACCATTGAAGATGTGACCATCACATTCACCCCAGAGGAATGGGCTCTGCTGGACATAGCGCACAGGAAGCTGTACAGAACTGTGATGCTGGAAACCATCAGCAACCTGGAATTCGTGGAAAAAAAGGACATCCATGATGCAGAGGGACAAATAACTACTGGACACATGAAGAAGAAAACACACACCATCAAGCCCACGAAAACTGCATGGTGCGAAGAGATAAATTTTAAAGGCAATCTGGGCAGGAAAACCTTCAAACATCAGCATGAGTTGAGAAGACACAAGATGACTGAATCTCAAAATGAATTCTGTGTATATGGAACAAACTTCAAACACTTGCCTAAATTTTATCAGGACCAGAAAACGCATTCTGGTAAAAAACTCTATAAATGTCAACAATGTGGGAAAGTGTACACTGTTTTAGGTAACCTGAAATATCATATGAGACTACACACAGGAGAAAATCCATATGAGTGTCTGGTATGTGGGAAAGCCTTCACTAAGCAATATTATCTTAGTGAGCATGAGAGAACACACACAGGAGAGAAGCCATATGAATGCAGTGTGTGTGGAAAAGCTTTTGCTCATTGTAGCAATCATAAAAGGCATATGAGAACGCACACAGGAGAAAAACCATATGAATGCCATCTATGTGGGAAGGCCTTCACTCAATTAGCTCATCTTACAAGACATGGGAGAACACACACAGGTGAGAAACCATATGAATGTGATGTGTGCAGAAAAGCTTTCAGTCATTGGTGCAACCTTAAAATGCATAAGAGAACACACACAGGAGAAAAATCATATAAATGCCATCTGTGTGGGAAGGCCTTCAATCAATTAGCTCATCTTATAAGTCATGGGAGAACACACACAGGTGAGAAACCATAGGAATGTGACGTGTGCAGAAAAGCTTTCGGTCATTGGTGCAACCTTAAAATTCATAAGAGAGGGGCTGGGGAGATGGCTCAGTAGAA